GCATGGGAATCTAGGTCATGTCTGCTTTGTTTACTTTTAAACATGTGGTTTAACTTTATTTAAAGCATATGGTATGTAATGTCATTACTTTAATATGTGTAGGATACTATTTATAAAGCTGATATAAACTTTTTCCCAAATTTAAGGGTCTGGAGTTAATGAAGTACGATTGGTTGTGTAGGTATGTCTGAAATAAGTGTAAAGATAGAAGTAATTACTGGAGTAGGCAAAGGGGACATATTTTTCATGCCAAAAATTAAACTAATATCTACAGATCTTCATTATGCCGTTTAAGTTTACAAGGATTCAATGCCCATTGGAAATAGCTTTCACTATTATTATAAATAAAGTGCAAGGCCAATGGCCAAACCTTCACAAAAGTTGGCATTGATTTGAAAAAACCAGTGTTAACATACACAAATGTTAAACGATAATTCAAGGTAGTGTAACCCACATGTAATTTGTATAAAATAGTTACTAGAATACACATATAGGGGCTATTGCCCCTACAAGCCACTAGTACTTTACTATTTGCTTTTTACAGGTCATTTTCAAAAACACTCCTTTTGCCACCAAAGTAAACCACTCACTGATCAAATAATCGCAAGGAACAGACGCTTCTGGCAAAATAGGCCCGTGCGATAGACGCTGAGCGATTATCGCTCTAGCGATCATCGCTGAGCGTCAGACGCACCAGACGCTTCTGGCAAAACGGGCCTTTAGGGAGTAAAAATCGTTTTTAGCCTCTATGGAGTAAAAATCAGCTGTTGTCAACTCAGTTGCAAATTTCGATTGTAAACGATTGCATGTATCGAAAATATGTATCGATTCATGCTTCGTAATCATTTTAACATACAGTCTACAGTCTCTTTCCGTAGCATTTTAGCATTGCAGATACATTAATCCATTCCCAAACTCAACACTGCTCACCTTTACTACTTCCTTCACCACACCCTACGTTGTGGACCTGTTTCCCTCTCTTCCCATAGCATTTTAGGATTGCAGATACATTAATGTAATTGCCAAAGACAGTTCAGACACTCTGCACTGATAGCCTTACTACTTCCTTCACCATTTACTACGTCATAGACCTGTTTCCCCTTTCTCATAGCATATAAGTATTACAGATTCATTTATCTAACTGCCCAAACGGTTCCCCCACTCTGCACTGCCAGCCTTTACTACTTCCTTCACCACTTCCTACGTCGTGGGGCCTGTTTCCCTCCCTTCTCATAGCATTTTAGTATTGAAGATACATTAATCTAACTGCCACAGACGGATCTCACACTATGCTGATGCTCATACTTTACTACTTCCTACGTCGTGGACCTGTATTCATCACTTTCCATAGCAATTTTAGATACGTTAATCTAATTGGCACAAACATTCCTACACTCCGTACTGCTAGCCTTTACTACTTCTTTCACCATTTCCTATGTCGTGGGCATGCTCCCATCCCTTCTCATAGCATTTCAGCATTGCAGATAGGTACATTAAAACTGCTACAAACGGTTTCCAGTTCCCACACTCCACACTGCTCACCTTACTACTTCTTTCACCTCTTCCTACGTCGCGGATATGTTTCCCTCTCTTCCCATAGCATTTTAAGATTGTAGATACCTAAATCTATTCGTCATAAACAGATCCCACACTCCGAACAACTCGCCTTTACTACTTCCTTCACCACTTCCTAATCGCGGACCTATTTCCCTCCCTTTCCGTAGCATTTTAGGATAGCACATACCTAAATATACTCGTCACAAACAGTTCCCACAGTCCGGACTGCTTGCCTTTACTACTTCCTTCACCACTTCCTACGTCACGGACCTGTTTCCCTCCCTTCCCATAGCACCATAGGATTGCAAATACCTTAATCTAATGGTCACAAACAGATCCCACACTCCGAACAGCTCGCCTTTACTACTTCCTTTACCACTTCCTACGTTGCGGACCTGTTTCCTTCCCTTCCAATAGCATTTTAGGATTACAGATACCTTCATCTAATCGTCATAAACAGTTTCCACACTCCAGACTGCTCACATTTACTACTTCCTTCACCATTTCATTAGTCACGGACCTCAAGCTAGTGCCGTCATCTATATAAATAAAATTACAGTTTTGTCTGTACATTGCTTAGAATCATGCAGTTTTTGGTTATTTTTACGTTTCATAGCCTAAGAAAGCCGAAACGAGTCTTATCTCAATTTCTATCTGTATGTCAGTTTGTCTGGTTGTCCATTCTGTGATTCCGTCTGTAACGCCAAAATGTCATTTTACGCGGCCTACTTATAGAAAACTAGAGTACCGATCAAGGTTCTAATCATTTTTCTGTATTTACTGGATTGGTGAGAGTGTCTTTGGCTATAAAAACATGGCCTCGCTTCTTTGAAAACAAAATAACAATCCACCAAAAACCCAATTTTGTAAGATTTTTGTCAAATTTTCTCCCAATGTTTACTATTATATTACATTTTATGAAATAACGATCAGCTGTTTGGATTAGTTCTCACTTCTAGCTGTCACTGATATGTTTACATTAAAAGTTGTTTACAAATACCAAATACCGCAACCATTTCCGATCAAGTTTTGTCAGCACATCCAAACCAAGTGAGATTAAAAATGTTGTGCCTTACTTAACCGGTTTAACTAATCGCAAGTGCAACCATTGTTCTTGAGTTTTGATAACCGGGGAAAATACCGTGAATCAGTGTTGTATTAGTGCAAGGAAACTTATATTTTTTTAATCATCGTCACCAATACCATAGCTTACAAAGGTTTCCACTCATTGACGGCGCTTCAAGGACAGTTGTGTAAAGTGCAAAGTAAAAAAATCACGACTGCAGTGGGTGATCGTGGATGTTGCTGCGATCTTGAAAGATCTTTCTGATTTCGCTGTGATCGTACCGTAACAGAGGTTTAACTTAACAGATGTAGCTAAACTCGCTTTTCCAATGTGTCACTTTTGGTTTCTACTTACTTACATTTCGACAACGATATCAGTACTTTTCCTAACTACAAACGTTCAAAACCCCAGATTTGTGCGTTTTTTGTCACATTTCCTCCGAATGTTTGCTAGATATATGTACCAATTATCGTTTAGAGATTACGTAATCTTAAGAAACCTTTGTTTGGATAAAGGCGGTTTCTTCAAACTGTCATTAATATGTTGACATTAAAAGCTGCTTACAAATAGCTATTAATAGGAAATAACTTTGATTTTCGAAAACTAAAAAAAAAATTTAAACCAAAGGAGATTAATAACTTTGGTACCGGTACAGCACCACATCAAGTGAAAGTTTTTTTTTTAGGAAACCATAGTGAGTTTTCAAAGCTTTACGTTGTTTACGTTACATGTTACATGTTTTGTGGCCTGTGTGTATTTATTTATTTATATAATTGCCAACTGATTAACACCTATAGGCCTAAAACAGTTTGATTAGAAGGACAGTTTGAATTAGTCGTAAGTACTAAAGTTCTTTTCTCAAATGTAAACGTTGGTTTTTGGTACCGGTACTGCTACTTTTCCTTAGAACCGGTGGTAGCAGTACCGATAAGAATAATTTTTACATACAAACACATCACTATTTTCACTATTTACTTATAAACACTGCACCTTATTGCTTATTAAATTTAATTGATGTCTTACTGTATAATTTTTAGCGTTTTCTGTCTGGACTCCAAAATGTTGTGTGGACTCAATTCTGTATTTGTGTGTGTATGTCTATTGGTAATGCATTAATGTCCTTATTTTTCGTGGAAAAGACAAGAGCACCATTGTTAATAAAAATTTCAACCCGAATAAAGTGTGCAGTAGTGAGGTTGAGGTAGTGTTTTAACTACTTTTAACCAGTGTGAAAAGTAACTTTCAATTGCAGGCCTACCTTAGGGCTATGCCTCATAGATCTATACTGTAAAGCAATTCCTTTCATCGTTAGATATAAAATATGGACTAACACGATCGGGTGACATTTAATTGCGAAGCATTCGTTTTGGCTTTGAAACTGTCAGATATTGTATTTGAGAAGGTTTATATGTATTCCTAAACAGTTATAGTTTTGCCATCATATCTAGAAAAATGCACACTAAATATGCAAACCAATTAACTCCTGTTCTGAATATAAGGTTTTAGCTTACTACAAGATTCCCGTACGTAGAATGGGCAAACAGCTAGTAAATAATAAATAAACATGCCAAGCTTCTTCTTGCACTCTTGACTAACAAAATTAAAAGCTGAAATAAACACATGCAGGATCTCACTCAATAGGCTATAAAACATGCAAAGCAATGCATGCATACTAAAAATGAAAAATAATAAAAACTACATGCTGCAAGCCATGCAAGGCAGAGAAAAATAAATTTACAATTTTGTAGTACCTCTACTAGACTACTGTGGGTTCAACCCAATAGTAACAAGCTGTGCATTCCAAACAAACTCTTTTATGGAATAAAATGGATTGGCAAGCATCCAAGCTTTTAGTGTGGTCGCAAACTTGTTCGGTAAGAGTTGTCTGACAGTTATGGGTAAGGCATTGTAGAACCTTATTCCTGCAACAGGAAAACAGTTGAGAGTTAAATCTAGTCTAACTCTATCTCTAAAAATATTTTCATTGTTCCTAGTGCTATAATGATGAACATTATTAACCATTCTTAATCTCTAACAGGCATTAGTAAATAAATACATTGTGTACAGGCATTATACCATGCTGAACAAACAGAGGTTTACAATGCTCCAGTTGATGGACTCCACACAAGACCCTGACAGCTTTCTTCTGTAGTTTGAGGACCAGGGGAGTGACCCCAAGAGCCTAGTGCCATACAGAATGTGAGCATGGAAAAAAGCAAAGTACGCAAGTCGAACAAATTCAAATGGCATGTCAGCCTTCAACCGTCTGAGCAAATGGATTACACGACTTTCTATTCATTGTTATTATTTACCTGTATGTTTTTTACCCCACCAAGTATTGGAATTGGAATAGGACCAATCCATAAACATGTCATTAGTGGTCCTCCACGTTCCAGCATTTCCACTCCCCCTTTTAAAATCCGTCCTGTTATTCCTGAAAATTAAAGATTTCCAACCTTTATATTACATAATTGACATTGAGATGGTAAATGCAATTCTAAATCTAACAGCCTAAACAAGATATTATTCCACCGATTAAATTTCAGCTACAACCACAGAAAACGTACTACTATAACCCAGAATGCCAACCGCATGGTAAAAAGCATTAAAAGCGGTTTTTGATAGAGCTTTGCCTCTTGCCTGTCAATCCGTAGGCAGCGCCACCAGCTATGCTATGCTATTGCATGGCAACGCTGGTGGCGCTGCCTACCGATTGACAGGCAAAGCTCTCTCAAACCGCTTAATGCTTTTTACCATGCATGCGGTTGGCATTCTGGGTTATAGTAGTACGTTTTCTGTGCTACAACACAGAGAAGTAAGGCCCCGGCCACACGAGGAGAATTTAAGCCGCGCGGCTTATCTTAGCGCGAAGTGCCTGGCCACACGGGGCGGATGAACCACTTCCTGTTGGGTTATTCCAGTCCAGTATGAGTTCAGTACCCTATTAAAACATAGTTCAGTTCACTATTTTAGTCATGGACGAAATAATTATGTTAGTATGTGCATTAGAAGTGTGTGGTGATGGAACCAATTGTTAACAGAAATCATTGGGTCCATCCCTTCACCTTTTGTTTCTGGTTGGCTCCATTCCAATCTTCATAAAATACTTCGGAGATTTCAACCCACGCCTTTTCCCGGCACCTTCTGTCTGAGTAGTCATTCAGTTTCTTGTCCCACAAACATGGCTTGTCTTTGACCAGTTCTATAAGCTTGTCTGTATCAAACATTGTTTGAACACCACACAACCGGTAAAAACGCACAAAACAAACTAAAAAACCACTGGAAATGTCCGAAGAATATCTCCAATAAGCCCGGCTGCCGCGCGGCCGAACCGTATCCATCGATCTCTATTAATACAACTGGATCGCGCGCTGTGTGTTGGAGTTGCGGTCCGGCCGCCCGGCTCTGCCCCCACCACTAGTCCGTGTAGAAGCGTGCTCTCTTACATTACACCATACGGCGGGACCACGTCTGCCGTCACGAAAACCGCTATATCTTCACATGTAGCTGCTCGATTTTCAATTCATTTACATATTTTTAATCTGTATAAACGTGTGAAGAGTATAGTCTAAATTTCATATCAAAATAATGTAATGGCAAACTTTAAGTAAGTTAGAAAGCGACCTACTGTTCTGATGTTTATTTTAACTACATCATTAATTGTGGTCTGATTAAAACTGAGGAGATCAGTCATTCCTTATCATTAGGTTATTAATAGGTGTTATCGGTATACCAATCACCGATCACTATCTATGTTGTTTACTTTAAAATAAGTAACGTGGAAGAAAATCAAATAAGAAATTCAAAGCTTAGAGGTAATGTAAAATAAAACTTATTACCAACGAATAAAATGGTTTAATACATAAACAATGATTCCATTAAAATATTTACATAATCATAATACATTAGTTGGTTCTCTATGTGTTTTTGAACAGGATTAACTTATGTAGTTTCTGTCGAAGTCCAGTGGAGCTTGGGTTTTGGTTTATTGTCCTCAATTTAGATTGGTGATGCAGCATAATTTTAAAATACAAGTATCCAATCATTTTTATTAGTTTAATTTCATGTGGAGTTTCTCCCAGTTGGACAACTTCAGTGTGACCTTGAAACATACTTCTGGCAAAGGTAGAGCATGCCATGTTGACAATACGGTCAACCATTCCACTCTTCGTAATGGTTTCGACGTGAAACTTAACATACGTCTTCGTTATATTATGGAGAATGCAATAGTAAAAATCGCAATAAATTTCATCAAGTAACAACAAAGTTATGTCAGTTTTTGTTCACGCAAACACGGTAGCTACATATGATTTGTAAGGCTACAGTGGCGCAGTTCACGGACTAGGGGTTGGGGGAGCGCTGTCAAGAGGCGGACCGCTATAGCACACACACTCATATGTGCAGCGCGCAATCCAGTTGTATTAATAGAGATCGATGACCGTATCGTGTGGCCACTCTCATAAGACTGCGTGTGTCATCCCCTCCCGGTCGAGGGACGACATGGCGCGGCTCAAGCTCAACCGTACATGTACAGTAGTCGCAGCTAGTCTGGGCGCGCGGCCGTGCTATGGCGGGGGCTGAAGAGGGGAGTGTTTATTGCTAATTTCCAAAAACATCTGGCTAACACGGCTCTCTGGGGTTGTTCGGCGAGGCTGTGGGAGTGAGCGAGCCGTTACTCTCAGCACGGCTAGTACACAAGGGTCCGCGCGCCTAGACTAGCTGCGACTAGGCCTACTTTTTTTTTGTACCTCAATCTTCGCCTCGTGTGGCCACTCCCATTTGATTCAATGTGTTGTCGAACCCCTTAAGTTCGCGTGGTTAAACCGCCTCGTGTGGCCGAGGCCTCATGCCGGAAATATACTTGTGACGAGTGAGGAAGCCCAAACAGCAAGTAAACTTACTGTGAGGAAATTCCTACCACACAGGGCACTACTTGTTCTTCCTCCACCGTGAGCGTTGTAATACATGATGGCGGGGAAGCAGAGGAGGATCTTTGCCCTAGTCACAAGCACTAGTGCTAGACACCACCTAAGTGTAGCAATTGAATTTTTCTTCTGTATGCCTACCTTACTTCTCGGTGGTTACAGTATTTTTCATAGGATTTTTTTAATTAATTGTTTTAAGGATGAAATGCAAATTTACAAAGCTTTATTGCATTTTTATCATTTGTTTTTACCATCCTCCAACTATATGGTACGTTATTAAGTTAATATGTATTTCATTTAAACCTACTCTAAAGTAAAAAAATTATTAAGTAGTTGGATAGTTATTCAATTACATTTCTTTCTTGAGATTAATAATTTTGGAATGCTCTTTGGGAATTGATTGTAAGGAAACAAGATACACTCCTAGCTTGCAGAAAACATAAACTCCATTCTTTTAAAATGTATTGTAATATTATTTTCTTTAATATGTAGCATACGCCTAGCATGAGTAGACATAAGTTACTTCATGACACGGAAAATTAAAATTATCTGTACAAACACCATATTGAACATCAATATTTACCTTCATGTCCTAGTAGAGTGTAGGGACTGTGTCCCAGAATTGGGAAACTGAAAAAAGGTACTTCCAGTTTGCTGACAGCCCTGATAAGCCTGTGATATTTCCAGTGCAGCCAACCCCACGTCACCAACAGTCCCACCATACACATCGTGAGGAGGGATGTTAAAGTCAACATTCTAAAATCATTTGTTTAGCAATAAAAATATTATTTAGGTTTGATATTTAGCTAACAGACTTAGTATATAGAAGCTAAATATACAATATAGGCCTACATGAAAAATGCGATTGCATCACACGGTGAGGAGAAACAGAAAGTGACACATTGGAAAAGCGAGTTTAGCATCATCCGTAAACCTCTGTTACGATCACCCACTGCAGTTGTGATTTTTTACTTTACACCTTACACAACCGCCATTGAAGCGCCGTCAATGAGTGGAAAACTTGTTTCCAAGCTATTGTTGACGATCATTAATAAATTTAAGTTTCCCAGCCGTATACAACACTGGTCTTCTTTCTGGTTATCAAAACTCAAGAACAATTTTATACACAAAGAATCTCTGGTTCCTGACATGGATGATGCCTAGTTATTTAATTTCATTTACGGTTACACTATATTATTGCACTTGCGATTAATTAAATCCGTTATGTAAGAAAAACGTTTATAATCTCAATTGGTTGGGATTTGCTTTCAAAACGTGATCGGAAATGATTGCGGTATTTGTAAACAACATTCAATTTAAACATATCAGTGACAGCTAGAAAAAATAATCTTGATCCGAACAGCTGTTCGTTATTTCATAGATGATTATGTGATAAAGGAAACACATAATCAAACCACCTCTATAAACCACACAACCCCAAACAGCTGTGGTGTGTGGTGCTGTTTCTGTAGTAAGCCGTCGTTTCGACAGCATTTCGGGCCATCTTCGGTCTAAGGAAATATAAATTGTTATGATAAAATTTGATGACATTAATTTCAAATACTAATTTTATATGTACTTGTTATGCTTAAAGCGTAGCAAATTCCCTAATTAAATTCTGTATTTTTGTGTGTATGTCTGTTGGTAACGCATTAATGTCCTTATTTCTCAGTGTTTCACGGAAAGGACATCAAGAGCACCTTTGATAATGAAAATGTCAACAGGAATAAAGTGTTAAATGGTGAGGTTAAGGTAGTACTTTAAATACTTTTAACCATTGTGGAAAGTAACTTCCAATTATAGGCCTAACTTAGGGCTATGCCTCATAGATCTATAAATTATTTTTTATTTTAATCATTGGATTTAACATATGGACCAACACGATCCGGGTGACATTTAATTGCGAAGCATTTGTTTTGGCTTGAAACTGTTACTGTATTTGCGAAGGTTTTTATATAATAGTTTTGCTATCATATCTGGAAATAAACCAACTGCTATTCTTAATATAAGAAGGTTTTTCAACTGACTACTTTAAGATCCCCGTGCGTAGAACGGGCACACAGCTAGGAATGATTCTTACAGCTACCAACGGTTCTAAGGAAAAGAACCAGTACCAAAAACCAACGTTAAATATAGGTTATTTATATAAGATACCCGTGCATAGAACGGGCACACAGCTAAAAATGATTCTTGCAGCTACCAACGGTTCTAAGGAAAAGAACTAGTACCAAAAACCAACGTTTACAGTAGTAGTTAAGAACCATAGTACATCTGACCAATTAAATGCATTAATCAAGTCCCGAGGTTATTGATCTCTTGGTTTTGGATTTTCTCGTAAAAAGTTATCGGAAATCAAAGTTATTTCGCATTAATTGTTTTATTTGTAAACAACTTTTAATGTAAACTTATCGGTGTCAGTTTGAAAAAAAAACGACCTTTTCCAAACAACTTTTTATAGATAACAAACTAAGCCTACAAGGGAGCTTTAAATTAAATTAATGAGGCCTTCTTTTTTTAAACATTCTTTTTTTGTGATGTGTCTGATAATGCCAGCATAGCTGTCGAAAGGCGTTATGAAAAACAAATTCAAAAATATTGGTGAAGTTTTTATTTTTTTAAATTTGAACCCAATATTACCAGTTCTTGATGAAAAATGCCTAAAACTTACTTCAACTTTAACATTAACATGAAATTATGGTTTTGCATATACATCAAAGAGAAAATTACTAATTAAATCATTCTTACAAAGCTTTTAATTCTTTGTTTGAGTTAATTTTTGGTAATGATGAGTGAGATTATTGGGAACATTTTCTATCAGAATTAATAAATACTCCCACCCCTCCCTGTAGAAAACCGTATCAAACTAAACAAATTTTCATTGGTCTAAAAATATTTCATAAACTTGAAACAGATTTTTTTAAATAACGCACATTGGTTTATGAGAACCGGTACCTAGGTTTGCTGCTAAAGAGAATGAAAAAAAAATTAGCCAAATTTTTCAAAATCCATTCATAAAGCAAGCAAACTACAACAGTTTATTTATACCTTATAACAATAACATGGGGAATTTTAAATGCACCGTTTTTTTAGTTTCTCTGCAAACCTTTAATCTTACAACACTTCAAAAAAGTTTTTTTAAGCTCTACACACGATGGTTTTAGTAAAAATGTTGCATTAATAAAAGAAAAAAAGATGTTAAAACCCTATAACTCAATTTGTTACCTAGACCCAAGCCTGTTCCTTCACAAACTCGTTAAGATTTAAATGTATCAAGCCCTACACGATTAAGCAAAATATTATAATCAGACCTAAAATACCGGAGTTATTGTGTTCCAGACACAAACCTCATCTTTAAATAAAGCTTAATAATTTTAAACTTTTTCCATTGAAAATGTCATATTTCAAATTTTGTTTCAAAATGCATATGTTGATGTCTAATCAAAATAGGTACTAACTTCCTGCAATATTTCTAGTTGTGACTCACCTTTAGTTTGTTCTTCTGTCACTCAATAGAGCGGAACTTGCTGTCAATGTGCTTGGCTGGAGTCTTCTGTGCAATCTGGATATGGGACCCTGCCTCAGCAGTGGGGAGGGGTGGCCTTCATTTTACAATCATTGAAAAACCAAGTACTTCAGACTCTTGGTCAGTAATTGAGTAGGGCCTAATTAATTAATACGCGAACACGAAGTTTGTCGGTTGAACTCCTCCGCCATTTCTTTACCGATTTTGTCCATTGACGTCTCATTGGAAAGAGCGTGTGGCGTAGGGTTGACGTATTCATAGTATGTGTAATGCTATAATCATTGATACGTTCATTTATTCGGTAAGAGGATGAGAGATTGTTCTATTTTTTTTTTAGCAGTCTTTAAAATATTTAGTTAGTTTTTTTTCTGAGCCCTTGAGGCTTGGATAATTACTCCACGTAGCCTATTAGATTTCTGATGCTGACTATTACTCACTTTTTTGTTAGTTATTTGTTCACATTTGTTTTAAAGAGGGATGCATCTAATGATTAGGAAATGACAGGATCTAAGGTCAAGGGTGAGATATCTTCTCGGCCAGGGGTCCATCAGGCCTTTACCTATCCCGAAAAGGAGGGGGGGGACCTAGGATAGAAGAACCTTAGGCCAAAGGAAAGTGTTGTGTAAATGTTAACTGATTGTGTGAAATGAGCCTTTATTGTATTCATATTCTTCTTTTTACAACCTTCAGAAAGGTATTTATTTCTTTGTATAGTTGTACATCTTCACTTGCCAATATTTTCCTCACTTTTTCAAATGTATTGTCATTTGGAAATTTGTTGATTCTCCTGAAACATTGTGCTCTTGCGTAATCATAATGTGGGCATTCAAGCAATAGTTATTTGTGTAACTAGTGGTGAAAGTGGCACTTAGCTGCACACGAGAGCAATGTTTACGCACGAGCCGCAGGCGAGTGCGGAATGATCTCGAGTGCAGCAAAGGCCTTTTTCACTCGTGTTACACATTATATTTTTCCTACAGTCACTATAAAGCATATAAATAATTAGTCTTTCAAACACTATACAACACGTTTTTAGGTTCAGCTGGCGACACAAATGGTGCCCTAGAGAAGTAGTACCCGCGGTCCGTATCACTCCGCTATTTTTCCTCGGCAAGAAATGTGCTCCACGTTTTGAGAATATAGTTCCGTATGTTTTTCTAATTTGAAGTGGTTTCCGCGCCTAAAAAAAATGCTTTAAAGGTATTTTCTTGTTTATTAAGATCGTAGGAATGTTTTAAAAACGTTTAAAAGAAAAGTCCAGAAAGTTCAGAAATACCGAAACTATAAACACGAAATGACAGGTTAAATCGTAGTTATAATTAGTCAATCAGCTGCTCATAGTATTTTTATCTTTAAGTGTTGCCAACCTATTTCCAAGCGTACACGGATTACGTGCATAATAGAACCACGCTGTTTTGTGTTGTTTCGTTGGAATCCTGATGTGCGGCAAAGTATAAACCGTACGGCAAAGTATAAACCGTACGGCAAAGTATAAATATGCAGCAATTAGCAGCTTTCTGTACTATAAACAGTACAAGGAAGCCAACTTTGTCGGGTGACTGTAGGAAAAAGATGTTCTATAGTTTCTGTGACACCATAGTTTATTTTAGTACAATATAATTTGTTATAACCAACAGCTGGTTGAATAAAAAAATATTCTATAGAACTATGAGGTTATAGTTCGGCCGCTTAGAAAACGACCACCTCCAGCATTGGTTTAGCATTAGCGCGCAGGTCGTTTTCTAAGCGGCCGAACTATAGTTTATTTACTCTGTGATTTTGTCATTGATTATAGGACATAAGTAAGATTCTATAACCATTGCTGTATACGAATCGAAGCTCACGAATCTTCAAAAGAAAGCTTATGAAAGTTATTTTACTACTCGACTTATAGAGGAAAGGTTGGGAAAATAACAATGATTACATGTTTTAATTCATCTCAGCAGCTTTTTCTTTACAATAAATTTTGAACTGCTTAAACTATGCTTGAATTAGAAGACACACTATATACAGTTTTGTTTTAATGGACTACTCGATTACCGTACGTTGGACGGGCCAACAGCTCGTATGTACTATTTTAATTTACATTCGTACATATTACAATGTAAACAACCGAGAAAGCCTGGTCAATTTGATATATTTTACAAAATAAGAAAAATTAATTGACAGGTTACTGTAATTCTTGAGCAATCATTGAAAGAACCAATTTGTTAACCATGGAAACAAAGGAAAGTAATAGATCGCCACCAAGTAGAAGAAATAGACATAAAAAATACTATTGTTATCATCCTATATAATGAACACCTACAATATGAAGATTCGTACAAACAATGAACAAGGATGTTAGCCGAAGTGCTACTATTGTAGGAAACACGGACTTAACTTTATGATGATTGGTAAAGGAAACCCCTCTAGGGCCGAATTGAACTGGTACGGCAAGGACATTAAATATATGTTTTCATAAAAGTCAAGTGATTTTAAAATAAAATGACTACATCCAAGAAACCTTAATAAAACTTTCATTGAAGGATTCGCATTATTCACATTATTATTCACATTCAAGGGAAACAAAAAACCATCTGAACAACATTAGGCCTTTCAATTCTGCAAGGCCTTCCTACTCTTGAGTTTCGAGTCAAACTTTCCCGTCATGTTTTCCTACTTGGTGTTTAAGTAAATATAAGTTAATTGGGGAAAAAGGCAGACTAACATTCCGGTGTTAATATTAAATTAAATATTAATAATTAATCATTTTAGCGAATTTCCCTATAGGGAAGTAGCTATTACCGTAGGTGGCACGGTAAGACCACCCGGGACCGATTACTTTTTCATTTTGATGTCCCCAGATACCAAAAACGCCATTCGTTCTAATGTTTATATATTATGTATATATGTTTAATCAAATGATTTAATCAAAATCGGACAAAAATTACTCATGTTATCGCGTTCACGGACGTATACAGGGTGAATAAAAAGTCAAGACCCCCCCTCTAATATTTTTCTAAGTAAATATACAGAGATATCCTTTTGGTGGTCGAGCAATCTTAGCAGGAAGTTTCATTTTATCATTTTGAAATTTTTAAGTGTCCCCCCAAAAGGGGGGATTTGGGGAGCAACTCAAATATTTTAAACGTAAACCCCTTTCAAGTGACACCTCATTTTGAAGTGTTTACAAAAACTTAAAGAATGGTGAAAACTAGAGGTCGCTATCTCTTCTCTATCCAAAATGGTAGCCCGTCAAATGTTGTGGAAAATCAATGGTAAAATTGTTAATATTGGCTGCCATTTTGGATAGAGAAGAGATAGCGACCTCTAGTGTTCACCATTCTTTAAGTTTTTGTAAACACTTCAAAATGAGGTGTCACTTGAAGGGGGTTTACGTTTAAAATATTTGAGTTTCCCCCCAAATCCCCCCTTTTGGGACACTTAAAAATTTCAAAATGATAAAATGAAACTTCCTGCTAAGATTGCTCGACCACCAAAAGGATATCTCTGTATATTTACTTAGAAAAATATTAGAGGGGGGGGGTCTTGACTTTTATTCACCCTGTATATAAACTTGAGTAATTTTTGTCCGATTTTGATTAAATTTGGTTTAAAGGTGCAAGGCGGGATTACCTTGAATGAGTTCACGAACCAGCATGATCGGACCATGGGAACGGGGTTTTACTGGGAGTTGAATGGGATGAAATTGGTTTTTCTCATTTTTGACCCTCAAAACACACATTTTCCCAATTTCTTTCTAGACCTTTTTAAAGGGCTTAAAAAACAAATAATTTAGTATATCATAGTGGTTTTGTACGGTTATTGAATAACTTCTTGATCAGCATTGTACGTGTTATTAAATTTACGGAAAGTAAATAAAAGAAACGTCTTATAACACTTAAAACATATAATTAAGCTTATTGTTCGCGTATGATCGCCTATTGGGTCTGATGATGATTGGAGTGTCCAATCGAAATCGATCACCACTTACCATCTTTTTTGTATATTTACCGTCTTGTGAGTAACAGTATAAGCGTAAATATATGTGTTAAGTGTTATAAGACGTTTCTTTTATTTACTTTCTGTACAGTTATTGGTAACGGAGAAAGTTTAAAAAATTGTAAATTTAAAATTCACATGTTATTCTTATGCAGAAAATTGTAAAATGTTGCAGTTTGCTTGTTTATGGATATATTTTGATCAAACTTGGCAAATTTATTTATTTTTTACTAGCTATTAACATTTTACTAAAAAATACACTTTATTAGGTTCCTTGTAGCAGCAAACCTAGGTACTCATTAAACCTATTGTTTTTATTAAATATATTTGATTAAAAATTAAAAATGGAAATTCGCTTAGTTGGCAGGTTTGCTGCGGCGGGGGTATTGTTTATTTACAGTTAAGTGTTTTTAGTGTGTGTTTAATCGATACTCGATAGCAAGTATAGACTAAAGCCCACCTTGTCATTTTAGTACACAGTAGGCTAATTTATTTACCTACATTTCACTTGGCAAAAATTAGTAGTAATTAGCAAAGCAATATAACTTGCAATATAAGTAATGCAGTAAACACAAAGTGGCATTAAATATTTTTTTTAAATAGTACGTAGTTATAAATGTAAATTTTACCTTGATAAAAGGAGTGTGTTAAGGATGTGTTTTTAGATTAGACTAAGATAAAATTATAATTATCGGAAATTAAATTTGGTGATTTCCCATCTCCTTGGCATTGGAGGATTGTATGTTAATTAAATATGTTTATATGAGTGTATTCATAGCTGAACATTTCTATATGAACAATAATTAATACTTAGGTTCGTAATAAACAATAAAGGAACACGACTTGGATTTGTTAAATTAATTGGGCTGGATGGTTTCGCGATAGGGTATGGACATGTTAAACGGGGAAGATAGTAACAATGTGGCCACTGCCTAAATTATCTCTGACCTTCGGCTGGGACAGACAACCTTGTGAATTAATTACTATAGTAAAATTCAGGCTTTCTTGAGGCGGATTACTGGCAGAAGCA